CATAATTAATTAAGATATGTGAGTCAGTAGCTGTTATTGGTTTAAATTTCCTTTTACAATCTTATGAATTTATTAAGAATTCAAAGAAAAATTTAGATTTTAGCTTCGACCTTCAACAGCCATCATTCCATTCTCGTAATTGTTATTGGAAAAAGTGTGCAATTTTTAGACAAGTTGTCCTCAGTGTTTGCTTCCTTGGAATAGATATTTTATCCTCAGTTAAGGTGTCAGTGAGTCGTTTGCAAAAAAATACAGAGCACGTCTACTTAAATACTGCATCTGACAATGAAATTATTTCTACGGAACACATTCGTTTAGTTTTTTTTTGTTTTTGTTTTTTTTTCACGATTTCAAAGGCAAAGGCCCCAAATAGTTCAAGTGTAACTCCTTTGACAAAACATTTAAGCATTACGGTAATATGATAAAAAATAATTTGTAAAGTAAGCTCGACAAAAACGGATACTGAACTAACTGATCTTTTTTTTCAAGGAGGCACAATGGAGTAATGGATTACGGCTCGGATAGAGGAGCTGAGTTAATTACCAGCTTCCTCCCAGCTATGAGTAAATAGCAGGACAGTCAAGATCCTATAGCATTGGTTGGCAACCAGTCTAGGGGAAGAAAACTGAATTCAAACCACCTGCTACCTTTGTAAGTCATACTTCTTTAACTTCTACGAGGAGGGACGGGACAACCTCATCATACCCGGTGCAAAAGGAACCTGCAAGCCATTTCACTATTCTCCCATGAATGTCACCATGAACCACAATTGTGAGATGGAAATTGTGAGATGGAAATTGTGAGATGGGGGTAAGTGGAGGACCAATTTTCATTGTTTAATAAAACAATGAAAAAGAATTGAAAAAGATGAAAACCCCAAAGGATTTAATTGCTCCAAACTGTTAAAGTTATTTCGATTACTTGAAGTTATTCATTTTTTAAAACACTTCAGCTGTGCTGGATTATCTATTCCGAGGAATAAGTCACCCGTGCGTATCATATCCATTTTTTGAAACACAACATCTGTGACATTCTTTCCAACTTATCTACTCTGTATAATCTATAAAATTGAGAAGAGTAATTAACATACTATATTTTCAAGCAATTTAATCTTTTCTACATGTTAATCTTGCAAGCATCATGTAATGCTTTTGTTATTCATTTTTAAGACACAACAGCTGTGTCGATATTAAACATTCTTTGAATCATATCAGATCTTTTTTATCTATAACAGTGAAAACATTAATTAACATTCCTCGTTTTCGTTATGGACTAAAAATCTGTCCCCATTTGATAAAAAATAATGTTCTTTTCCAATCGTACAAAAAATATTAAACAATTGAATGGCTAAGAAATATTTTTTTTCAATGAACACAAAATCAAAATTTTAATTTCTTCATCATGCCGACTTTTGAAGCAAGTATTCAGTTGCAAATTGTAAATTGCAATTGAATAGATAAAACAAAATCAAGAAGAATATTTGCTTAATTATTTTTTAATTTTATTCAATCAAATAAATTTTCAGTAACAACAATAATTCCAACATTTGGAGTAATAACAGTAGGATGCTTCTGGAAGTTGATTTGAACTGCGTCCCTAATATCTTATTATTTAAAAGTATCCTTGATGTAATCGGTTATTCTCAAAATTAAAATCCATTTTTTCTTTTTTCTTCTATTTGATTTAAAGAAAGATCCAAGATTATGTTGTAATCTTCAAGATTTATTAAAAAAATAAATCAGTTGAGCTCTTCCTGTTGCTAAAAACCATGCTTTCCGTGTTCTTGCAATTTAAGTTTAAAACTTTTTTTCTTGCTTTCCTTCACTATTTTCTGTTGGAGTTCCGGTATTTTCTTTTCTGTGTCTGTTATCAACACTTTGTCTTCTGCATACCTTATATTTTTGAGGTTGTGGCTGCCAATAATGAATTTTGGTAGGACTTCTTGTTTTCTCAGAATCGCCTTGCTGTATAGGTTAAATAAGTCCGGTGAGAAGACACATTCTAGTCTTACACTCCTTTCTATTTTTTGAATATCTTCTGAATTCATTTTCTATCCGCATGCAGGAGATTTGCTGCCAGTATAAGTTCTTGATTATTTTAATGTCCTTCCCAAATATAGCAAGATTACCTATCAGTTCCAATAGTTCCTTGTGGCGTACTTTATTGAACGCTTTTACATAATCTATAAAAGATAGGTATACATAACACGTGTAATACTAGTAGCACTTTTAGTTGTAGTTTAGTATTTAATTGTTGCTTAAGGCCATTACACTCTTCGGCCTCTGCAAAATACAATGCGAAATTGAAAATGAAGTCGCATTGCAAACTTTATTTCTAATTTCAATTTTTACCCAGCAGCTGAAGAATATATCGACCTAGATTGCTGCTATAAAACGCAACGCAAATAGCGGCCTTAGAAGATCCATTTTCGTTGTGCTGTTTGGTGAACCAGGTGCAAATGAATGCAAACTCCTTCGGACAAGCTACATAACGAACCTCATCTTCCAAATTCTGATTATTACAGCGCACATAGAACATTGTGGTTTCGTTAAAGACATTGAAACAAGAAATGCGATATTTATGCTCAGTCGGATATTATAAAGAGCAATATAAATGCATAAGGAAGTATACTTATGTTGTATAGATTTTGAAAAAAAGCGTTCCATATGTTACGACATAAGATCAGTTTGAACTGCAAGGAAAACTTGATCTACAGGGTGCCCCACAAATACCAGAAAATTTAAGATTTACTATGTGATGAAAAAAATAACTAACATATAAAAATTAACTACATATTCTACTATATGAATGAACTAAAAAAATAACTAACATATAAAAATTAACTACATATTCTACTATATGAATAAACTAAAAAAATAACTAACATATAAAAGTTAACTACATATTCTAATATATGAATAAACTAAAAAAATAACTAACATATAAAAACTAACTACATATTCTACTATATGAATGAACTAAAAAAATAACTAACATATAAAAATTAACTACATATTCTACTATAAGAATAAACTAAAAAAATAACTAACATATAAAAATTAACTACATATTCTACTATAAGAATAAACTAAAAAAATAACTAACATATAAAAATTAACTACATATTCTACTATATGAATAAACTAGAAAATAACTAACATATAAAAATTAACTACATATTCTACTATATGAATAAACTAAAAAATAACTAACATATAAAAATTAACTACATATTCTCCTATAAGAATAAACTAAAAAATAACTAACATATAAAATTAACTACATATTCTACTATAAGAATAAACTAAAAAAATAACTAACATATAAAAATTAACTACATATTCTACTATATGAATAAACTAGAAAAATAACTAACATATAAAAATTAACTACATATTCTACTATATGAATAAACTAAAAAAATAACTAACATATAATTTTTTTTAACCATGTGTTGTTCCAGGATGCCACAATTATCAAATATTCAACGCGAAGTGATTGTTCTCTTCAAGAAAGAACATCTAACTTGGGGACTGAAAAAATGCCAAGAAGTTTTGTCAGAGTTCTTTAGTTTGAACACCCACATCTAACATTTGTGTTCTTGTTTTGTTTTAAGCTATTAAATTTCTATCTTTTGCTTTTATTTCAAATAGCTGTAACACAAATTCTAGCAAATTAAATAAATTGTATCAATTTTTTTGTTTTTTGTGAGACATCCTGCATTTGGAAAAATTATTAGAATAATCCATAACTCGGAGCAAACGGCCTGCATGTGGATAGAAAATGGAGTCAGTAGAAAAATATAGAAAGGAACGTAAGATGTGTTTTCTTACCAGATTTATTTACCCCTTACAGTGAGGTAAACCACAGAGATCTAGAAGTCCTACCAGGATTCATTTCTGGCGGCCACAATCTTAACAGTATAAGATATGCAAATGACATAGTTTTGGTAGCAGGAAAGGAAGCTACAGGAACTCTTACTGAAGATAGTAAAGAAAAATGAAACATTATGTGTAACAGCCCAAGATACGAGATCCGAATTGGAGATGTCAAAATCAATCAAATACAATATCGGATAAGTGTTTTACACAAAATGTGAAAAAGGAAAAAAAAACTCCCAAAAGCTAAGTAAAGTATTCAGAAACAAAGAAATTTCATGAGAAACAAAGAAAAGAGTGCCGAATTACTATATAATACCAGTCCTCCTTTATGGCACTGAATGCTGGGCAATCTTCTCACAGATGAAGAGGAGACTTGTGGCAATAGAGACGTCGTTCAGCAGAAGGATGCTAAGAATACCATGAAGTGAACATCTGAGTAACGAGGAAGTTTTAAGGATAATAGAAACAAAATAAAAACAAACAAAAAAACCGCTTATACTTTGAATCAGAAGGAGACAATGGAAATTACCAGGAAATATAATCATGAAAGACGCCTCGGAAAATTTAACACTGACAAGACATATCGAAGGTAAAATAAACAGAGGTAAACAGCAAGTAATCAGCCTGACGACCTTGTGTCAATGGATGGCAGAACAAAGATCTAGAGAGATTCTGAGAAGACAAACATTGCTCAGAGTTATAAGGATTAGAGGTTGTGGAGTCCATAATCATCCACGTCCTGAAGGGAGACGGTACATATAAGAAGAACAAAAATTGTAATGAAAGCAACAATAATAAAATAGGTTTGACTTGGTTTCCCAATGGATTCATTTTGTTTTAACCAACAGAAATCCCATCGAAGAAATTACTGAATCATTTCAAACTATGTTTCTTTAATATGCTTTCTTTATTATGCAATTAAAACTGCTTCATGCTCCGCAAAGATCCAAGTAATTTATTAATAATATTTACATTCTTCTGTCAAATCAAGGATTTAGCTTCGAGATCCGCAGACATTTCAAAGAGGATATAAATTTCGGAACACTTAAGAATAAAGACGTTAGGATCTTTTTAGAAAGCTGAACACATTTGTGTAAAACTGTATTTGCATTTCTTAAATTATATGGATCTTTTGACAACACAATCTGAACAGACTGAGAAAGGCAAAGATAGATAAGAACGGGCTGAGACAGACACAAACAGATAGATAGATAGATAGATAGATAGATAGATAGATAGATAGATAGATAGATAGATAGAAAGAAGCAGGAAGTAAGTTGGCATTGTAGAAACTAAAATTCTTACCGAAAAAATCTTCAGCCAAATTAGCTTTTTTATTTTCTGCTTATAATTTATCGTCTGAAAATCTTTGAATGAAATTATATGAAGGAATTCTGAGTTGGAAATTTGTATTTTGACAATTATTGTTTTAATTTCAAATAATCATCGATCATCTTTACAAAACTGAATTCTAACAATAAACGAATATTGGTCCATATTTAACATCATGATGAAAAATTAATTGGAAACATCCATAATCAGAACGATTTGAGAATTGGAATAGTTTAAGCCGCTAATAACTAGAGAGATCTTCAAGAAAAATTAGCAAACTAAATAAATGAGATAAAATAAATCTAAAGTTAAGCTTCCAGCATAAGGGAAAAAGACAGACAAGTTTAGAAAATAGAACACAGAGGTCACAGGGGTCACAGGTATCACTTGAATGGATCAAACAGTCGCGAAACGACCCGATAATTTTTTTTCTTCTACAAAAACCTTATGTTTGTATCTCAGATAAAAAGTTTCAACTAGTTAGACAAGAAATTCCTTTCCTTGGCAGTCTTTAAGACAGTGTCAGCCACTTCAGACACGACTTTCCAAGTAAAATCGATGTCATGGTTTTGGGTGAAGGGTGTACAAACGGACATACGCAGGCAGAAAATGTCGTCCACTCTGGAAGGAACCATATAGATTCGCCCATCTTCATTTATCCTTTTAACAAGTTTTTCGTTAATTTCGTTGCTACCCTGAAAAGGAAACAAAAGACAGACACAAAAAGTAAATCAATTGTGATGAATTTTGCAATAAGATTGAACGATAATGTAAAAAAAAATGAACATCTCTACTAATCTTTGTTTAATTTGGTACAAGACAACATGCATAAAGCAACAATGGAAATCGAACTAAAGACAAACTTATTAAATACTTTTAAGATCTATCATTGAAAATCTACAATTATTACAATTTTAACACACGTCTTGTTAATCCAACGATATATATAGGCTTATAGCCACATCACGTTGAAACACAGGTTTCTTTACGATCACCGAAGTTCAGCAACATTGTTCCTGGTCAGTAACTACATGGCTGACCGCTTGGGAATACCAGGTGCTGTAAGCTTGGATGTGCCAATGGTGTAATAAATAATGGTTAGGAATTGGTAATCGGAGAGCAGAGTTCCAATTCCCGTTGGTTTCGTTATATTCCCTTACGTGCAAATACCCTTGGGAAAAATATGAATCCACCTAGCTGGGGGGAGAAGAGGTGAATTTATATTTTTTTAAAATTCATGGATTCATATATTAAAATAATTTTCAGAAGCACATAATTTATCTAATTTCAGTCTGTTTCTATAATATGTCCCATTCTATTCTTTTCCTTCCTTCCTATCTATCTATCTATCTATTAGTTTGACTTGCATCACTAAATCATTATTATCGCAAAAATTCGTACACTGTAAAATTATTTTATGATTTTAAATAACCTGAAAAGGTTTAATAAGTCGTAGAAAAGCAATCAATCAAAAAAAAAATATATATATATATATATATATATATATATATATATATATATATATATATATATATATATATACAAATATAGGTAACTATACTTGTTTCGAAAAACCTTCGAATTTTTGATTTGCCAATAATCAAATCAATCTCGAGGGAAAAAAAGGTTTTAAAAAGAAAGAGCTAGAAACATGAAAGTCTGTCGAAAAAAATCGCTTAGATACAGGTCTGAAGCCCAAAGAAAAACCCCGACACGAGTAAGCAACTAACTAACAAAAGAGCTCAATACAACCGTAGAGCAGACCTAGATAAACCTAGTGAGCCAGAGAAACCTGGGTAGGTTTGTCTGGCTCACTAGGTTTATCTATCTATCTATCTCTCTCTCTCTCTCTCTCTATTATATATATATATATATATATATATATATATATATATATATATATATATATTATATAATATAATAATTATTAATTAATAATTAATAATTAATAGCTTACATTATTAAATAGAGAGATATACAATCATAGATAGATAGATTCATATATATATAAAGTAACATTATTTTGTTTTTTATCGTTTGGAAAAACTGATCACTGATACACAAATGAGTGCGTCATGTATTGGGAGAGCAGTAGGGTGGGTGTGTGTGCATTGCACATACATCAGTCATAGCACGAGCACAATCAAGGAAACATGGTGGGGTGTCAGCTTTATAACTTTCAGTTGGGCTTCTCCGCAGCCGCATGAATTCGTTGAATAAGTCAAGCCTTTGTTGATAATGCTGTGAGTGAGCGCACCGCCAGACATTGGTTCAAGAAGTTCAGATCGGGAGATCTGTCCCTGTATGATGAAAACTGCAGTGGCCAACCACGGGTCCTAGATGTTGAAATCCTGGAGGTGACCACTGTTGTGGACAACAACCAAAGCTGTGGTAAGCTTGCCGAACACTTTCAGGTTTCTGATGATATGGTAAGACTTCACCTGCATCGCATAGGGAAGGCGTACAAGTTGAGCAAGTGTGCTACCCCACATATTGTTGGAAGCTAACAAGCAACAACGAGTGACTGCCTGTTTCTCGTTGCTTTCATAGCACCGTAACGTACCCATATTTCATCGAGTGTACACCAGTTTCGAAAGTGGGTCTCAAGCGTGGCAGACATTGGTTATTTCTGCAGAATCCTGTGCCTCACACCACAAGATCACCTCTATATCCACGTGAGAACATGCTCTGTATCAGGTGGACTAGTCGACAAGTGATGAGCTGCTACCAACTGACTAAACCATCATTGCGGACCTGTACTCGCAGCTCTTGGGACGTGTGCAACAAACGTTGAAATAAGAGCCAGCATTAGATAATCACAAGGTTGTACTGTTCCTCAATGACAATGCCATACCTCATGTATCACGGATGGACAGAGATACGATATGTCAACTTGACTGGGATACACTGTGCCATCCACCTTACTCCCCCGACCCTGCGCCAAAAGAGTACCACTTCGTTGGAAATACTTTGTAAATGAGGCAGACTTGCAGCAGGTATTCAAATATCTTCATGCACTTGGTTTTTATTGTCAGGGCGATGCTCATCTGAAGCCACGTTGAAAAAATGTTCTGGATGCCGATGGGGATTACTTTGAGGACTAAAAGTATGCAAAATTTGCTTTTCCTTCTAATAAGTAAAAAATACCAAGGACCTTTTCTCTAGTTTGTATATAGATTCATGTATAGATAGATTCATAGGATGCACGTTAAAATTATATTAGTTTGGTGCAAAAATAATGACGTAATAGTCGTTTTTTGACATTAAAAACGACATTATTACGTCATTATTTTTGCACCAACCTAATAATTATCAACGCTGGCTAATGATAGACATTTAAATGCTGACTATCAAAAATATGGATCTAAAGAAAAAAATAAAAATTAGTTTGAAATGATATTTAGAACTGAAAGGAAGAATTTCACAGTTAAATTTGTCTGCGACTAACCTTTAACCGGAAGCAAACCAACGACAGGATGACTTCACCGAAAATTTCAAATCTTGGATCATTTCTGATGTATTCCTCGAATTTATGAGCGACTCTTATATCCTGCAAGATTTGAAATAATTTAATCGTATCAGCTAGATCAATAGTTACTTTTCCAGTAAAGTATATACGCATAAGTAAATGTAAATTAAGGCAAAGAAACTCGAATTCCACTCGGGTTTCTTTACATTTATTTACCCACAAATAGGGAAAGGTATGAATCTATGTCTACTCCCTCCAGTTATTTATTGAATAGCAAGGCAGACTGGACCCAATAGCGTTGGTTGACAATCAGTCTGCCGCAGAAATAAATGGCAACCTATTGTTGGAAAATCTTCTGCCTAGTCAGACATGAATCAAAAGAGACATGATCGTTCAAGCATGTATCGCGTATGACATTGATTGGCATGTGCATTAAAATAATTTTCAGAAGCACATAATCTATCTAATTTCAGTCTGTTTATATAATATGACCCATTCTGTTCTTTCCTATCTATCTATCTATCTATCTATCTAATTTTAATCTGTTTATATAATATGCCTCATCGGTTCTTTCATATCTATCTATCTATCTATGTCTGTTTGATAAAATATTATGTAATTATAATATAAGAATGATAGCTATAAGTAGCTAGTTAGCTAACAGTCTATCTATATATATCTAGCACTATTTCATGACCACATGGTTAGAACGTTCGCTTTCCGACCATGAAAACCGGGTTTGCCAAAGGGGTTACTTCTGGATGTTATCGACCTGGGGAAGGTATCCTAGTATTAAGCACTGTTGGAAAATACCTGAAAACCATACAATGGATTTTGCAAAAATTTGTGAGTAAAAATGAGTAGACGGAAGTGTTTGGAAGCCATTGCTAGTTGTACAAGCCTGGAGTCACAAGACATTGCAACTGACGACATCAGCGTACTGGACTGTCTAACTGTTGATCACATCAGATTATGCGCTCCCTCCCATAAATGTAACAAAGTTCTGCTACGTATTGACAGCTGCCCTCTGTGGGTGTTGAACACAAGGCATCGGGAACAGGGATAGGGTTCTCGGAAACGAGTAGATGGGCATTATATAATAGCCAACTATATATATATATATATATATATATATATATATAAAACTTAGGTTAAAAACTTAGGTTTAAAACTTAGGAAACCCAATCCTAAAGAGGAAACTAGTGATAAACTCTACTCCTGTTTAAAAGACCAGGGAGGAGTGTGAACCGATCTCTATATACCATCACATCATTATGGTTACAGTGTTCGACGGTAATTTTATAACATGACCGCATACTTACAAGTTTGTGTACACTCAGAGGTGTATATTTGCACTTGCATGTATGCCCACACGCACACATACACCAATGCACACACGTAGAGTGTGTATTGACCTTCGAACAGTGGCAATGGCCAGTGAAATTAGATACTTACTAAACCGTATAACAGTTTTTGGTATAAAGCCACATGTCTGAGTCACCCGTTGAAAATAGAACTAACTTGTAATTATCAGCGAGACTTGCTTGTTAACCATCACGCCAGAACGAGGCGCCTATGTTATGTGAGAGTAGCCAGCTCATAATATCTCTTTAATGAAATTATATACATATCTATTAAACTTAGTCTAAACTGTCACAAGATCGCGATAATATCCCAATGATGATCGATGCTTTAAAGTTATTTACTAAATTTAACATAGTCTGACAGCATAGTATGAAGCAACCTGTGAAGACCGAAAACACTTCAATAGTAATGATATGTGAGATCAACTTGCAGGTCAAAGGGCTAAGGTGACTGGTCACCTTAGGGGGTGAAAAGTAAATTACTTTTCATGGGTCAATGAAAAAGTTTGGAGTCGATGGAAAGCTGAAAATATTATTTACCTTTCGTATGATATCTTGAAGGCCTTTCACGCCAAATAATCTTAATACAAACCAAAGTTTCAAAGACCGGAATCGTCGTTCCATAGGAATGTGCCAATGCTGTCAAAAGAAAAAAAAATACACTAATGCAAGCGGAATTAACATTATAAATGCTGTATATGCATAATACGATATAAATGCTTTGCTAATAGATCCTATTATTGAAATATATTGCAATTTAGGGAGAAAGAGGCTATTGATGGACAAGAATTAAAACAAGTATTAGTGACAGAATAAGGTCATTAAGTATATAATGCAAAACATTGGTAATAATTTTCTATAGAAATGAATTCTAAATACGGGAAAAAGATTTTCAATATAAAATTAGTCCTTATCTGGCATCTCGGCTTCAGACGCTTTCCTACCGCCGTAAGGTTCCCCCTCTGTGTCTTTTCTGTAAATACTTTCATGGTAATTGTTCGGAGGATCTCTTTGCTATGATTATTTTTATATTATTAAAGTATCGCATTAATTACGTCCAGTTAACTGATGTTTCTGCTACATTTAGAGATTGTGAGGGGGACTTATTACTAATATTATTTTGTTTAGTTTCTTGTAAAAAGTTTTGTTTTCATATTGTAAATACTCTTTGGGGTTAGTTTTAAATTATACTTTTATTCCCCTCCCCCACAGACAATGAATTGTATATAAGGGGAGTAGTTAGGACTTAGAAGACAATGAGGTATTATGGTGGATGTAGTAAGAAAGTTAAGTAACAATGAGTTGTTTTGGTGTAAGCAATAATGCATGTTTGGTTCAATGTTTGTGGCTAGCAAAGTTAAGATAGAAGACCGTCCTCATTCACCATTTTTGCCTTGAGCCACATTTCTGTACATAGCAGAATAAATATCGCTTTTTTGCTATGGTACACAGACCGACTACTTTTGTCGGCCATCTTGAAAAAAATCCCACCTTGCTAAGCGGGTAAATATTAGCTAGGTGGGATTTTTTCCAGATAGCCGACAAAAGTAGTCGGTCTGTGAAAAAGGAACTTTTCGTGTTTGCTTGTAAGTCAGACCAACCCGATAAAAAGAAAAGTAAATATAGTAAATTGGTGGAAGTAACCCCGAAATCCCCAAATAATGGAAATAAAGTACAGACCAAAGATAATAGCAGTTCATCTATTAATGACGAGAACGTGTCGAAACAAATGGAAGCACCAGAAAAGACGACAGACGGGGAATCGCCCTCATGTTGGAAGTCTCTTCCGACACCGAATTGTATAATTAAAATCGCGCAGTGTTTGGAAAGGGTTAAAAGTTACGAACATTTTATAAAAGAATTGGGGCCATAATTACTGGGGGTTGTGATATATGTGTCTTATGTTGTAGTTTTGTTTAAGTTATATTTTGGAATATAGTTTTATTTCGTTCAAAAATTGTAGGATATTATATGGATTAATGTCATTAAAGAGTTGGTTGATAATATTTAAGCCGGATTTGGCTGAAGTCGTTATACACACATGTACGCACCCATTCACCAAGAGAGAGAGAGAGAGAGAGAGAGATTTTGTTTACTCTGAAATCTGGCATGATTCCTTCATTTTCATTCTCGTATTTCAAGTACAAAGGTTCGACTCTGAACGATTGGATTAAGTCGTTGCTGTTCTTCACCCTTGAAAGACAAACAAACAAAACAGATGTGATACATTGCAAATATCTGTTTGGAAGCACCTAACCAAAATATCTAAACCACACGAGGGGAGAAAAAGTAAATCAGACCTGAGAATACTATTTGTACCACTACATAACTTGGTTTGAAATGATTGAGAAACAATATCTCGTTAACCATTTCAGAACATAGAAACATTTGGCGAGATATACTGTCAATTAGACATGAGCTGAGGATCACTGAAAATGACCTCTGCAGTTAAATGAAAATTTCTTTTATATACCGAGTCCCTCCAACATGTGGGTGATTATGACTCTCCACAATGTTTGTAGCACTGGTTGTCCCCATACTATCCCTCTCAGTCCCTGTTCTGCCATTCATTTACCAAAGTTCGTTTGGTAGGTTACTCGACATTTACCTCTGCCCCTCTTACTTTCAATAGGTCCTGTGAGTGTCAAATTCTTCAAGTCTTCTTTTTTTCATTAAAAATTGTAGTTGTCGCTTTCTGATTCTAATGCCAGTTTTGTTTCCATTTTCTGTGGGGAATTTAACAATCTCTCAAACAGGAGTCGTTTCTTGTGGAACAAAGTGAGACAATTAAACTTGTAATAACATACTTTATACAAGAAACACAAGACATAACGAGAAAGAGAATAGGGGATTGCTAAAAACGTATTCTTTTAGCGGTTAAAAGTTAAGACATTGAGGAAGAAATCCAAATAAATATCTGTTTGAAATAAATAATACAGATCTGTATGGAGGTTCATATTCTGGAGGTATTAGCTGCATGTCCTCGAATTATTCAGGCGAACTTTTTTTGCGTGATTTGGAGAAACATCTCATCCGTTCCGTTTTGTTCTTGGCGTCCGCCTAGTGCAACAAAGACACGTCCACTTACTCCCTGTTTTACTTGGTGTGTGTCCGTTAGTACTCGAAATCCTATTTTGCGCCTAATTTGGGGCTATGCCCATTCTGAGTTTATAATAGACTCTTATTATTAGCAGTAGGAGCCATCTGTCAAAGGGAAATCATCTATATTTTTTTATATTTCCTTAAAATTTCCTCGTTGTCCACATGTTTCCTTCATGGTATTCTCAGCATCCTTCTGTAGAACCACCTTTCTATTACCTCGAGTTTCCTCTTCCTTTCTGAAGAAATTTGTAAGTTTTAACTCGGTTAAAGATCTTGGTGTTTTTCATCTCAACTCTTTAAGAGCAGGCTTCTTTCTTAATGAAGTTCACAAAGAAAACCAAATAAATCAATTCTTTAACCTTATGGTTAAGCTGGCAAATGAACATACTGAAGTTATTAAAGAATACGACAAATTAAAAGTCATTTTTATAGTGGTAGACCTTAAAAGAAAAATATTGAAATCTAAAAACCTTCTTCATACGAAACAAATCTTAGTAAATAATAATAAAAACTTACCACATGGCTGAACAATCAAATGTCACCTGCAGCCATTTGTGTGGATTGAAGTTAAAGGAATCGGCGTGCTACAAAAAACAACAAAATATTTCCAGATAAAAAAAGCTTATAGTCTGGTTATTCTTACTTCGTTTAAAATGATGAGTTGACAAAATTCGAAAGAAAAGAAACGAAAGTAATATTTTTAGTTGTAGAGACTTACTTCCACACCATTCAAAAGTGGCCGATATTCTGGACAAATGAAGGCACTGCCTGCATAGGCAGCGTCAATATGCATCCAAATATTTTCTTGTTCGCCTGAAATTAAGCAGTAATTTCTTAAAACTAGAATAACAGATTGAAATTTTATGCTTAATGTGTTCTATTTTAAAGCATTACCTGGCTGAACTGGGGTTTTTTTTAGTTAGTGCGTATTTGTTGCAGGAAAACAATTATTCTCAGGATCAATCTCCATTTCTCCTCATCAGTACCTCTATCGGAGATACGCTCTGCACCATCGGCTAAAATCGGCTAACTTGTGCTATTTGTAGGTGGAACTTTACATTAAAATAATTTAGTAGGCGGAGCCTTACATTAAAATAATTTAGTAGGCGGAGCCTTGCATTAAAATAATATAGTAGGTGGAGAGTTAATATTAAAACAACATTGCTGCTGGTGAGAGTTAAATAACTCTCATCCAGAATTATATTTTAAGGCACAATTTTTTTTTTAATTCTTTTTTTTTAAACAATACGAACGAAATAATCCCAGAACAAATTACACTTCTGCGAAGATTTTTATTTCTAACTCCAAGTTTTTTTATGTCTTTGAAAATGTAGCAAAAAGTTTTTTGAAGTGAGTCATTATGTTTGAAATGTACAATATTTTCATTTTCATAGGATAAGTAACCATTTCTGTCCCAACAACAAATTTTCATTTTCAAAATACATTATGATAAATATAAAAGTAAAAATTTAGATGAAATTTTTTCATTGTAAATGAAAATGAATTTTTCAAGACTTGTGTGTAATGACAAAAGTACACAAGTGTAGGCTTTAAGAAAGCTTTATTCAAATGAGAATACAATGTTCGCGTATAGTGTCCTTTTATAGTCCCAGTAAACAGAAATAGCTCTCCTAAAGAGGAGAGTAACAAAACAAGGGGAGACCACTCTTGATTATTCATAACATTGTGCTATATCTACAGATTGTATAGGATTTTATTTCACGGCCTTCAACTTATTTAGACCGAATGTTTATGCTTTCATTAAAATCACAGTTTAAAATCGCTTTAGCAAATTTCTTCATCTTTGATTTATGTATTTTACTGATTTTAATACTTAGATAACTTAAGAACAGAAGATACTAATTCCCACTTAAATGTAAGATTGTACTTTTTGTTTTTTAATATTTTGAATTTCTGAATACAATCAGGTAATGCGTTTTGTAATTTTGTGATAAATAAATTTTTTTTAATTATTTCGTATCATGAGTTTCATTTTTTTCTGTTGCTTTTGTTGTGACCAAAACGTTTCGGCTGATCTACTCTACAGCCTCCCTCAAATATATAATCCATGTGTAAAGTAGAATGCTATATCACAGAAGACTGGGCCTTGCTCAGGTGTTAGTGAGTAATTCGGTTAAGACGGCGTTCATGTTGGATATGCTTGAGGGTGCGAGTTTCAGTTCCGCCGTTAGTTAGTGTTTTTTTTTTTCATTCCAATCTTCACTGCTTTTATTAACTGCTGGAGAGTGTAAAAACCTGAGATTTGCATAATAATCAACAACAAGCTGAAAAATAAAACTAGTCAGACCTTAACCAGAAGAATGATATTATAATTTATTATCATATAAGTATAAAATAATGTTCTTTTATGACATTGTCCTGTCTAACTCTTACTAGCTTAAACATTAAAAAATACAATGAAAGTGTAATATACTTATGTAAGATTGAACAATGTAGTCCAAGAAAAGTTAGAGATCGAATCTTAGTAAGATGATTTTAATCATTTTTTTTTTGACAGCAGTTAACAATCCAGGGGATGGTTAGTATGAAATAATTTTAGGATTTGGTACATCAGATGAATGTAGTCTTTGGTTACGAAGGGAATTCATTCTTGATTTTATTGAACTTCATTCCTTTCTTTTTTGCTTTCGTTGTGATAACACTGTTTCGGCTGATCCATTCTCCGGATTTCCTCAAGTTTACAACCAACATGTAAAAACCTTTGGCATTCAGGTCTCTCACCAACAGAACATGCAAATTTGTACGAAAGGCGTGAACAATTATCGATAAGAAACTCATAAAGTCAATTAACCTCATTACTAAGGAACGCAAGGCTTCAAGGGAATCTATCGGAAGAATTGTGCGTGAGAACCTTCGATATAAGTTATATTTGATGCGGAGAGGCTAATTGATGTCTGCAAAGAGAATAGATAACCATCTGCTCCACGCGCAAAGCGCTTGTTGAGCAAGTTGAAACGTCGACAGCTTGGAATACTTTGGTTTTTCTCAGATGAGACAAAACTTTGATCAAGACCAAAAGATCCATCGAATGAATGACAGATGGCTATTCAGAGAGCATAAGAACGTTCCACAAAATTTCCAGCAACTATTTCTGGGAGTCGTGAGCAACGAAAGAAATGCCATAAGGGTCAATGGTGTTGACTATAAAGAGGTCTTAGAGAGGCTCGTGATGCCTTGGATAAAGAGCGTAAGCAAAGAAAAAACATACAACAAAACTCTGCGACGCCTCATAAGGTCAAGACGGTCCAAGCATGGGTAAGTTAAAATCTTCCCGATTACGTCCCCTAAACATATGGCCTCTTAGCTCTCCAGACCTGAATCGGTATGCAGTGTAGTCAAGAGGGAAGTCAATCAACTCTACCATAACACTATCAAATATCGGATGTATCACAAAATAGATAAAGATTATCTAATTCGGGTATGTCAACGTTTCAGAATACGTATTGAAGTTGTCAGGATAACGTCAGATTCAAAATGTAGATGCGCCATAAAGGATTTAAAGATTACTCATGGAAATGTCCTCAATAAACTGAGTACTTAAAGGACAGATAACCACATAATCGTTATTTACGATTATTAATAATTATTTTATAATTAGGAATAATCACTCATACTTCGTATGACGCCTTGAGTCAAAGCTAATCCATGTTATGCCTTCGAGAAGCCATTTCTTGCAGCTGGTACCATGTAATCTATTACAACCTGTTGAGGGAAGATTGGCATCATATTGCCTTGAGAGAGGTTATGAAAGAGAATTACAAAGCAGGGCGCAGCGACAATCTAGTGGGTCTTTCTAAATGTTCATAATGAAAGTAGAGCGTATAATCAAAGAATACTCACAAACAAGTCCAATTTCTTTACAGTTGTCAAACGCACAGGAAGATGTAGTACCCAATGTGGCACATACCTGAGAAAGAAAAAGCAACATTGATATTACAGAGACACAAGAAAGCTTATTGCACCTACATCTCCTGTTAGAAGGAACCACTATAGCATCTTATTACGTTATGTACTCTTAATTGCAATTCACCGAGTGACAAAAGACAAAAAAAAACCCAAAACTCTTTCACTTCCTGGTGACAAATGTTAAAGTCAATTGGCAATGAAGCAATACCAACTTCTCTTAGTGGATTCTCCCATCATAACTTCTTTTGAAAAAGTTCTCAAATTAATAAAGAAATAAAAATGGGTTTGCTAAAATCTACAATAGAAACGTATCTTCTAATCTTCTATGTGCCGCATAACTTGTATTATAGTAGACGTGTGTTGGAAATATAATATATATAGACATCAGTAGAATCCACTATTTCAAATATCTGTTAGGGGATCTTGAACCATATTCCCTCACCAGTAAGTGTAGATTATTGTTATAATTTCAGGACATACCGCATTGGCCATTCCAGGACAAAAACATTTATCGTCAAATAAACCGTAAATATAATCTATAACAAAGAACTGTTTTGCCAGATATCACTTCAGCCATACCATGACAAAACATTTCTTGTGAGATTTAGTTGAAGCGTAATTTTTGCTTTTTCACGAGAACGAATTACACAGGCGTAATTTCTGCGCATAATGATACAAGAGTAAATACTTACAATAAATGGCGTCAATCCTTTCGCCCTGTCTTCGTCGATGGCCGCCTTTAGAATATCACCACGTAACGCTTGCTTTTCATCAGTGTCTAGGATTCGATAATTGACCAAAGCAATCATATATGCCCGTTCTACTGAAGAATGTGACTGAAAAATAGAAAAACATTTGTCAGTTACTTCCTCAGAGTTTTCAATGTAAGCGAATAATTATAATTTTTACTAGTATTCTTTTCACATTAATTCATGTTTCATTATATCGTAACTTTTAAGCCCGTCCTACTACGATCATTAGTAAACGGCGCACATTGGTTCGACTCAAGTGAGACTCGAAACCGTATTCCTTTTTTGCCAGGAAAATCAGAGGAATTTGCTTATCGCTAAGGCATTTACGTCTTCCCATCCCCGAAATGACGCGGTACCGGGCAGTGTCACCTTCAGACTCGTAGTGGTTTAGCCGATTCTGACAAGTTTGTCGTCGGTATTCTATCTACTCTTGTATGGGTATTCATCAGATCTACCTGCCCCAAACTTAAGACCAGTCTTAGCGCGATACCTGCTTTTCTAGTTAGGCAACAAACGTCTGTTAAAATCTAACCATATACCGTAGATTGCGGCGTACAAGTCGAGTTTTCAAGTTAAAAAATATTTCCAAAACTAAAGGTCGACTTATATGGCGGATATAAAATGCACACATTTACCACCGGGTTGTAAACAAGTAGGACAACACTCTTAACAATTACTGTACATCATTTACCATACCTCCAGCAGGCTGCCACATATATATTCCACTGAAACTTGTGTTTAGTTACAGTTATTGTCTCAATATGCAGGTAAGGGGTCTGACCTTATGTAGTTTTGATACAGATTATCATATACTGTAGCATATCTCCATTTACGGGTAGGCTTAAGTTTTGGGTCACTAGTAGACTACGATAATTTTGGGGGACGACCTGTACGGTAGATATTGGCCTAACTCAGAATTTTGAACTAAAACTTTTGAGGTCAACATGTACGCCGCAATTTATGTTATTTTTCATTATTTATTTTTCCCGGAGAGCCAGTGTTACTGTCTTTAAAATTTGTTTATATTAGATCATTGCAAAAGTTTGTGTCCCATTAGATAATTAAAACAATGAAAATCGGGCATGGACATTTGCAATGATCCAGTATATATTAGTAATATTGTTATGCTGAATTTAGATAACGTATTGTCAATTAGTATTAACTAATTTCTGTTTGAATTTCTGCGAAGAGGAATTATCATTATTTACGTTATTTAAATATTTGCTGTTATCCCAATGTTTCCGTTGTTGTGTACACCGATCTTTATCAGAAGCTTGTCAATACGGATAACTTTCAGAGATTTTCAAACTGAGCACTTTAAGCAGATTGTTCTTGTTTCGCTGACCATGTCTTGTCTGGTTCTTAGTTAAATCTTCTACATACAACGTATGAAAGCACGTGCGATACCCTTCCCTCATCAGCCACAAAACAAGGGATGTAACACAGTTTCGGTGGCTAAGACGGTACTGCCACCCCTGGTGCCACCAGAAGCTTTTGCTATCGGATAGAGTATTGTCTTTCGGTGTATACGTGTTATTGCTCGCTCCGTCTGCATTCATTCCAAGTACATACGGCCAGTGATTGAACTCATGGTCAATATGTCACGAAACTCACGAACCATCACTTTAATCTACTGGATTATTATTTTAATATTGTCCTGATGAAGGCGGAGGGTACAATAACCGAAACGTTGTGACAACAGCAATAATGATGAGAGCAATACCCACACGTAAATAATATAAATAGTGTCAACTATCATCATTACTCGCGAATATATTAACAATTAACACGGATTTATATGCAAATTAAATTTAAATTTCTAAAAATAAATATAATAAATAAAATCAGTAAAAAAGATCTATCAAGTCAATTCAAGACATATCATGATCGTAGAGATACTCTATACTCTGTCAACTGAAACTTCTATGATAACTGCTGACTTATCGAGTTTAGCCCTGTTTGCAAGTGTAAAGAAGAATACAAATGCAAAAAGATGTCACAGAATGCGGAGGCTAGGCCTGGATGGTCAGGAATTGGTTAAAATACATCGTAGGCGTAACGTTCACTCATCCGAACAAATCTTGTGATGATAATGTCTTTTTAGATATTACTGAAAGTTCTTTCTATTCGGATTGTATACCAGAAGAAGGTTGCAGAATAGATCAGCCAAAATGCAAAAGTAACAAAAAAGGCAATAATAAAAATGAATTTAATATAATTAACAAGTGAAGAGTTTGTATGTGTTCTGTCGTATTTTATTAAAATTTTCTTTTCAGAAATTGCCATATACCGAAAAAGACACTGCTTCGTTACTCTTCTGTCTAACTTTCGGGAATGTCAACAACAATATGAAAACAATAGTCATTATTTACATACTGACTATTGCTTTCATTTTTATTGCGGTTATCACAACGTTTCGAGTGATTTGATCTGTATGTCGATCTTGGTAAAGTACAGGGAATTTCCAACTGAACTCAGCTACTTTGTCAGATTTTCTCGTCTCATGTCTGGGGATTTCTAGATTAAATAAAGAGTTGAGTTCAAAATTCACTATAGATTATACGGATCGGCATAAACCTGATGGAGACCGAATGCCATAACCGCCTAAATGTTTTGATAATAACAACAAAAATGAGGAAAATAGTTCATTAGTATTCTTAATTGATTGTTTTGTCTTTCTTACCTGTCTTGACATGTATGCAACCAGTTTAGTGAGCGCCACACCATCCTTGATGCCGGGATTTTTCTCTTTGATTCCATTTAAGAACTTGGTTCTTGCCGACAAAACAGCAACAAGAGTGGCTTCACTGGCAGACCCCTTGTAAGTAGAGAAATGATTTAGATATTCTTTTGGTGGATGGAACAATACCGTGTGCATGCGTAGCAAAAGTGAACTAAATATATTTTTATCATCAACATTACAGACTTAACAACAAAAAATATGTCTTTAGCAACTAGAAGATGCTATTGTATTCATATTGTCAACTGGAAATTCCATCAAGTATTATCACGTGTGGAAATATAGTTTTTATTGTTGGGTTGACGGATTCAACCTTTTTCTTTTGATTTCTTGATACAGTTGTGTACGTTTGCCTGGGAGAGTAGTAATTCTGTTAGGAAAGGTGATATTGGATAAAAACCTGGGCGTAGATTAATATTTGGATAAAATTCAATAGCGGCACTCTCGAGGATTTTCTTAAATTTTCCGTTTTCTAAATTCTTCTAGCTGCTAAGGACATTTTGTTTTGTTGTTAATAGTCGGTTAATAATACAGTTTTCCTATTGTCTTTTATCTTTATACATATTGTCGTTTTCTACAGGTTAACTCTGAGAAATTTTTCATATATATATATATATATATATATATATATGATAATATATATTGATAATAATATATATACATAAATTTCCAAGAGGATAGAATCCAGGTAGAACTCAATGTCCAGGACAGAGTAAGAATATAATATAAAAGGCTCAAACACTAATATTCCATGGTTATAATTTATTACATTGGAATCGTAATCACGTTCCAATTCATCAGACCTAAGAATTCAAAAAATATTATCTTATATATATAAAGTAAAGAACTCATAAGGGAGTATATTACAGATGTACACCAGAGAAAAAGAGCTCAATGCATTATTAACTGGAAAAGACTTGATATATGTTTACTTTAATTAAATTCTATCTTCCGTTATGGGGGTCGGGGTTGAAAATCGGTATTGTTGAGCTTTATTTTGTTCTTAGAGATATGGTCCCTTGTTGAGGTCCTACTGTTTTCAATGCTATTGAGCACTTTCACAACACGCTTGTGAATGTTGTGTTGTTCTGGTTTTCTCGCCAAATAATGTTGATTTTTCGCCTTTTTCTTCTTGGCATTTCTATCCTCGGTGTGTTTGTTTGGTGTGTGCATGGTATGTACACATCAACTACCCTTGTAACATCTTGAACTTACGAAAAGAGTATAAAATTATTTTCACGAATAACTTTTGCCGACCGCCTGAATGCCTCAGAATGCATGAAACTTTTAGTTGTGGTGGTCCACTGTTCATCGGAAATTGATTTAGAAATATTAAGACTCTGTCAGTTAATATGACATTGAGATCACTTTCTCCTGTGTGCCTCTGTAGCAGACTCCCTTGGGAGTGTCTTATTTTCTTTAATATATATATTTATATCTATCTATCTGTCTACTATATATATATATATATATATATATATATATATATATATATATATATATATATATAAAGGCAGGATGTGTGTGTGTGTGTGTGTGTGTGTGTGTGTGTGTGTGTGTGTGTGTGTGTGTGTGTAAAGAATGCACGGCCGCAATTTTCGACGGATTTGCACCAAAATTTACATGCACATGCTTCAAGTTAGCAGAAAGGCCAATCCCGACTTTGCATTTCTCAACTCCCATTGATAGGGGAAATAATCGATTTTTTCATGCTTCTTTGGTAGATTTCATGCAGGTTGCGGCCATTTTGTACTGGCCAGAATGAGAGCCTATAGCTGGCTGCCGCGAATAGGCAGGAAGATTCTATTAGCCAGCGTGAGAGCCAACAGCTGACTGACACGAATGTTAACTAGCATGCTAGCATGCAAAAAAAATCGATAGCTGAATTTGTCACAAATGGGAAAAATTTAAATCTGCATGGCACTTTACTCCAAGTGGCTCATTCGCTTGCTTAAACTCAACGTTGATTCTGATTGCACAGAACTGGGTTGGGTGTGAAAAAGTAATTGTTGTTAACATTCTTTTTTCATTCGGTTTTTCCTGTTACGAGTCCGTTTTTGAAGCTGATCGTTTTGTGTTCATTTTGTTTAGTTTTTTTTTCGTAACAGATTTAATGTTTAGTGTAGAGCTTAGAAAAACTTCGCAGTGTGAGATAGGCAAGAAGTAAGGCATGTAGCAACATCAGCACGGAAAAGGGCACTCCTTTAAAGGCAAGGAAAGGCAAAAATATTTTAAGTCAAGTGATAGCGATTGCTGTATGAGTCGTACGATTTTTGAATCAAGCACGGGCAACGCCAGGCCATGCTGCTAGTATATTAGAGTATTATATATATATATATATATATATATATATATATATATATAATATTAGCGGTGGCCAAACATTCTAGTTCGATGACCATTCGAATATTTTCGCGATTCAGATTTTTAAAAATTCTGTTTTAGAAGTAAATGAATATTATTTCATGGTGTTATGATGATCAAGCTTAGTAGCCGTAGATATCCTACGTACACGGACTCAATGTTGCCCGTGAGCTAGAGTTATAGCTCTCTTTATGCTAATTACTAATTAGCTAAACCAAACCCATTACATCTCACTTTTAGGTTTCAGGCCATACGTGGTTCTATGGCTTTTCCTACACAAAGAATCAATTTCTTTTTCGCAATCAGCCTGATATAATTCAGAACTAAGGGGTAATGTGACAAAAAGTAGCAAATACTTTATGGCGGACTGGATACAACCCGAATGTTCTATGTTAGAAAATGCTGCACTCTATACACATATAAAAAGACTCACCTGAATCACCCCACCGCCATGTCCTGGAGATGTCGATAGGAAAACTTCAGGAAGATCCATCGCTTTAACCAGCCAATCCATTACAATAACTTCTAATTCTGTACAAGATGGACAGGAAGCCTGACAATGAAACGAAGACGAGTGTAAGAACTTAATTATTTGTTCAATTTAATTTCTATTAAAGTTTACAGTGATTTGCACTTTTCTTTATATACTTAAAATATTTATTTAGTCGCTTTATATATTCGTTTTGATATTATAATGACTTTCATAGTCTTTATCCATCATTTAATTTTGTACATGCTTTTCTGCTTGTGTATGAATATATTAAATCATTGCAAAAGTGTCCAATTAGAAAATTAAAAGCAAAATTTTACATACCTACAAAAAAATCATTAGTCAAGTATATAGTCTCCATTGTTTTTAACAACTGTCTCCCATCGTTCTACAAGTTTGTTAATGCTATTTTCGTAAAAAATTCGTCGTTTTTTTTTTTTTTTTTTTTTTGGAAGAAGGTTGTGGGGTAGTTTACAACTGACCGTACAGAGTTAAACTTTCTGTCATTTAGATTGTCCTATAGAGACCGGAACAAATGAAAATACGAAGGAGTCAAGTCAGGAGATTGCGGTGGGTGCTGGAGAGTTTCCCATTTCAACTGTTTAAGCTTCTACAAGGTCTGTTTTGCAACATGCGGTCTTGCGTTGTTTTTTTTTGCGGGGGGGGGCACTTTTCGATTTGCCAGAATCGGTCTTTTTTAATGAACCTGACTATCTTCAAATGGCGAAAGGTAGTTAAGATATTGATTTTTAAACTGTTAGCTATCTCTTCCGTCAAAATTTTTGGTTTATTCTCTGCGATGACAAACAGAGCGTCTTCAGCGACGTCAGGAGTCACACGAAGTGTGGTTGATCGTAAGGTTAAAATCACCCTGACGAAATCTACCTAACCACTTTTTGTCCATTTGATGACCTAGATACAATCCAAATAAAACTTCTAGATGTTTTTGAGACAGTCAAGGAAAGTAGTAAGAATGTTTAGCAGTTTAACTAACTAAAGACTAATATAAAATATATATATATATATATATATATATATATATATATATATATATATATATATATATATATATATATATACACACACGTTTGTATGTGTGTGTTATGTCTGTGTACGTATGCTATAACTGGGTGGTAGCCGGCTAAACTGGAATTATCAATTCAATTTCTTGCGGGTGAGGCGTGTTCTTAGCAACCCCAAAGAATCAAAAATAAAACCTACCAAAGGTCGGATGAGTCAATGGTGAACTAACTAGAAGTATAAAAAAAAAAAAAAAATCACCGTTGGGAAGCCTTCACGGCTTTTGACAATCAAATTATGAAAGATAACGGTATGAATGAGGTTAAATCGGTAAGAAATAACTCCTCGCTTTGTAAGGAAGGTCATGTGTAACATACAACGACTGTTAGCAAAAACGGCGTAAATGTGGTCAAACTACTTCGAAATGATTCCTCGCCCGATAAGGGAAGACATGAACGGCAGATGTCACTTGTCACACATCCAGCGACTATTCGCATGGAATAAAAATAATTATTGGGACACGGAATGTTAGGACACTAAATCAATGTGGCGAGTTAGATAATATAAAGCAGGAAATGAACAGGTTTAATATTTTATGTGTATCCGAAACGGGTAGGCAAACAATGAAGATTTCGTCAGTGAAAAACACGGGATCATATATGCAAGCGCAGAGAAAAATGAGAGAGCAGTGGAACTGATATTATACCAAGACAGGAAGAAACGTGTTCTGGGATACTGTCAACTATTTGAAAGAATTATCGTCATTAAACTGAAAGGAAAGCCTTTCAAAATATCAATCATAGTTGCACACTAGCAGTATAACCCGTCTTGGACCATGTGTTTCATTAATGGGAATTTTTGCCGTTCAATTAAAGCAGTTCAAGTTTAAAGTCAGCCCACCTGAAAATCAATATTAGTAAAAAAAATTGTGTGTAATTGAAGCACATCCCCAAATGGGGGGGGGCTTTCAATCTTGCAAGTAAAGACACTCTTTCACGGAGCTTCATAATAATAATAAACGATAATTTTTATTTATAATATATTTTTTCTTATAATTCTAATAATCTTTTGCGTTAGATTTCAACTCTAAATTGATTCTACGCTGTTTTATACAGATATTAAATTTTTTCTTTGATTTTTTGCGCAAAGTGTAAAAAATCAGTTTTTTCGATTTTTCACCTTCAAGGTTGTAATTTTTCCCGACAATTTGGACACAAAACCGGAACTGAAGAATTATCTATCAAAGAAAAAAAAATTTCATCAAAGTCGGATGAAAACTGTGGAAACACATAATATGCGATCACACATACACACACCCATATACATACATACATACGCACACACACATATACATACATACATACGCACACACACATACAGATTTTGAGAATTATAGATATAAGATGCACCGACAGTACACAGTACAGAACAAGAAATTGAAAAGTTTTATTGTACTCGAGACAACGCTAAGGCTCAATGCAAATCGTAAAAAATTACAATCGTCATGGGAGATCTGAATGCCAAAGTCGGCAAGGAAAGAGACAGTGAAATAGTTGGAAATTCGGAGTAGGAACTATTAATGGACGCAGAGAAAAAATATGTTCAGTTATGCACAGCGAATGAACAGGTAGTAGCCAAGAACATCCAATACGTATTGTTGGTTGACTTATATATATAACCAGCCCAATATCTGTAATGCCTTAAGCGGCTTTGAACTGCGGGGCACTTCCTGATAAGATGACAGCAATAAAACACGTATATTAATACACACTAGTCTTGGAGTTATTTCTGCTTAACACGTATATGAACACAGAGAAGCCCATGAGCAGAGACAAAATACCAAATCAACAATATAACTATCAAGAAGAGATTCAGGATTGCAGTTTTATACTGTAAAATATAGCAGAGTGCCAACTGTAGGAGCGGGCACCTACCAGTGATATGTAAACTTAGAGTGAAACTACGGAAACTGCAGAGGGCCAAGACAGTACCCAAATTGCAATACAACAGACTCTCAAATGACCCGAATGTGAAGGAGAAATATATGAACAGTTTTAAAAGCAGATACAATCGATAAAATGCGAATAAAATCTCAAAGAGGGACACATTAAAAAAACTTTAGTAGCATCAGCAATGGAAATCATATCAGTGGGTGAAAAATGAAATTCTCTAAACGATGAAAAGTAGGCAGTAAACAATGCCAAGGTACGGCACAGACTCTTCACAAAGAAATTAGGAACAGGCGGGTTAAAGGGGAATGATTCAAAGAAAAATGTTCAAAAATAAAAAGAATGAGTTTCACAACTGAAGCAGATATGCATAAAAGAATAAAAGAAATAATAAGTCAAAAGACATGCTCACCAATGGGATGCATAAATGCCAAGGAGAGGACACGGTTATCAGAGAAAGAAAAAATACTTCAGCGATGAAATGAATACATTTGAGTGCTCATTCACGACGACATGAGGACAAACCACAATACACAGAAATATCAGAAGACTAGAGAAATTAAAAACTGAAGTAAAATCCGCACTGGCGAAATTGAACAGAAACGAAGCAGCTGGACCATACGGAATTGCAATAAAGAGGCTGACAGCCTTAGATGATTTCGGTATTGACAAGCTTACAGACATAATAAGTGAAATATACAACAGTGGGGATATACCGGAAGATCTAAGCAGATCTACCTAAGAAGTCAGGTGCAAACGAATGTGAAATCCATCAATCAGCCTAATGAACCATATAGCAAAACTTATCACCTGAATTCTGACGCAGCAGAAATAGACCGGAAATACAAAAAGAACAGTGCCGGTTTGTTAAAGACACTGGAATAAGGAATGCGGTATTTAGTCTTTGAATGATACCTGAAAGAGAAATTCAAACACAGAATGATGTTTACCTGTATTTTATAGATTATGCAAAAGCGTTTGATAAACTACGTCACACAGAACTATTGAAACTGCTATATAACCATGACATATATGAAAAGGATATTAGAATAATCCAGAACTCATACTGGGAGCAAACTGTTTGCATACGGATAGAAAATGAATTCAGTAAATATACAAAACTAGAAAGGGGTGTAAGACAAGGATGTGCATTCTCACCGGACTCACTTAACCCCTATATTTTTTTTATTACACACACACACACATATATATATATATATATATATATATATATATATATATATATATATATATATAAGAAGTGTACTGAAAAAATTCTCGTAACTATCCACTCAATATTTGGCCAAATATCAAAGTGCACTCCTCGCTTGTAGATCTCCCTTTCAGCTCCCTGTTTTCCAGTCAACTTTAATTTGCAAAAATCTAAGTGCAATGTCAACCGCTATCTAATGTCCTCCTGATTACTCTTCTCTCTTGTCAGTCATTAGTAATGTTTCTGTTCCTAATTCTGTCACTGTCACTTTACTGCCTTGCATGAGGTGATATCGATTTAAACGAATTTTTGAAAACATCCAAAGAAGAATCTGCAATGTTATTGGTCCTGACCTGGCATTTCAGCTTCAGTCACTTTCTCACCATCGTAATATAGCTTCCCTGTGCCTTTTCTATAAATATTTTCATGGTGATTGTTCTGATGAACATTTCTCTTTGGTTTCTTAACTTTACGAATTCAAGCGCTGTACTAGATTGACAGATAGGTCTCATCATTTTACAGCTTAAATGACTAAATATAGCTGTATGTTCTATGCTAAAAGTTTCTTCTCTCACACTTCTTGCTTGTGGAACTCTCTTCCGGCTTCTTGCTTTCCAGTTAACTTTGATCTTCAAAAATTTAAATGCAATATCAATCATTATATTCTACATTCTTAATTCCTGTTCTTTTAGTGTTCTCTCTCCTTAATAATCAAGTCCCTTGAGTCTTAGTTGCTTTATTGCCTTGCTTGGAGTAAAAATATTAAAAAATATATAATGACAAGCAAAGATATTATGACCAATTTATTTATTTTTTTAATTATTTATTACTAAACACGTCCCCGAGACGCAGCAATCCTTTTTTTATAGCCCGTAGCCTATCAGACGTGGTCTTTACATGACCTCTTGAAATCTGGTGCTAGGGTGTGGACAGGATATTCTTTAAATGTTGTGGTTCTAAAAAACGATTTTATGATTTAACAAATCCCGTACATACCCAATGGTATTTCTTAAACCTCGTACCACGTGACAGGGCGCATTATCCTTTTGGAAGAAGCTTCAGCCATGGTAGAAAAAGACTTTTCAATGATGCTGCGGTAGGTGGAACGCGACAAAGTATGATGCACCTTATTTAGAAGAAAGTGAAACTCAATAAATCAAACGACCTTTTGCCATTGATACAAGGTTGAGTTCACATATTCGTGTACGACTGGACATGTATTTTCGCCAGCAACGCATTTTCACCAACAAACTGTTCCTTAAAAATCAGCGTCAAAATAAGCAACCCACTTTTTTTGTACTGTGGGATTAACTGTGTTGTTGTCAGAAAATGTTTTTCGCGTCGCTCATCTCTCCTCAGCCCGGAAGGTGCCAAATACGGATGGTATAGAGAACAGTTTATCCAAAATCTGCGACATAATTTATGGCCATGAAAGTGATGTCATCTCTCTCTCTCTCTCTTGTAACGGCATTCACCCGAGGTGGGTTGATCCGGCTCTAATATTGGAGTTTCATGGGAATTTGGAATTCACAAGCGGTCCCCAAACCGCATGTATGGCACATGAGATTTGATTATAGTGGTGAAGGTTTCGTGCATCGACACTTTTGGAAGGGCCGATTACTACATACCACAAGGTCCCCAAACGACCCTCCGCAGGTTTTGAATTCAGAGTTTTTCCTTCTCATAGAACCCAGTCTGTCCTGCTATTTACCCATAGCTGAAGGAAGAAAAAGAGGATTCATACTTTTCCCAAGGGTATTAGCACTTAAGTGAATGCAATGGATTCGATTCCTCAATCCAAGCCGATATCCATTACGCCACCGTGCCTCCTCATAAGTGATGTTATTGTATTGGAATCAAAAGTTTAGCTTCTTCGTTTGCCTGAATCTGGAAATTCAAATCACTTTGAAGGCCATATTTGATGAACTGTCCGGATTTATTGTAATCCAGGAGGATCAAGTTCTTAATATTAAAAAAAAAAAAAAAACTAACAAAATAAAACAAAAACAAAAACAAACATGTCACATCACTTTGCCTGCTGTTGATTACATTTTGAACATTTATTTGATGGCGAATTCGCTTATCGTCACAGCATAGAATATTGTTTTGATTAAAGTCTCATCAGCGATTAAGGCGCGGCCCAGTAAAGTGTCATCTTCAGAATCATAGTGGTTGCCCAGTGTTGCTAACATGGTTTCTAATGCAAAGAAGCCAACATTTAGCTAATCCACCGATTTCTGTGGATGATCTGATCGAAGCGGTCTTCATTTCGTGGAGTGATGAACCATCCAGAACTGTTCAAATGGTAACCACACCCATAAACATGCAGCAAATATCCATGAATGTCGGCGAATGCTATTTTTTCCGCATCGATGAATTCAATTACACGAATCTGCATCGTACACACTTTCAGGTTAGACGTCAATTTCCAAACTGCCACTCGGTACGAGTAAATATTTAAAAAAAAGGGGTTATTGGCAGCTTTCTGCCATATTAAAAACATTCACCCCTAACGCCGTGGGGCAGCATAATAAAATAAGAGGCATTTCTTTTGGAGCGTTCCATCTGTCGGAGAAGTTGAAAACATACTGCTCGAAGCGAGTTCGTTATTCAATAGGTGTTCAGTTATGGCAGTGTTTCTCAACTTTTTTTTGTTTTAACTTCAGAGCACACTTATGGAATAACTAAATTTCTGGTGCGCACTTTAAACTTTACTATTTTCAAAATTCATGACTAATTTTTCCTTTTTAAGAAAAGATAAAATTAGTCATGAAATTTGAAAATAGTAAAATAATAAAGACGTCTCCTGAAATAAGTATTTATTTTAAGACATTATATCCTATATTTAAGTGATGCAGTTTAATTTAAAAGGATTTCTGAAGAATCTACTTCTATTTTTTTTTTTAGAGGCCGATAATGACTGATCAAAATCCCCTGAGGAAGACAAGAGAAAATATTATCCAATCCTTCTTAAAGATTAATTTAGCATCCAGTTTTAAATATCAAATAACAAAGACTTGATTGTTTGGCCTTTATAGCTTTTTAAAAATAAAGATTTTTTAAAAATAAAAACTATTCATAAATTATTTTTCTGCTAACTTCGGACGCACCTAACTTTCAGGTCACATTAGTGTGCCCGGGCGCATTAGTGTGCTCGGGCGCATTAGTGTGCCCGGGCGAACCGTTTGAGAAACTTTTGAGTTATAGACTTAGAGATACAAAGACAGCGAGAAATGAAATAAAAGGAATAAATGAAGAAAGATAAGAAAAATAATCTTACCCAGCTGAATCCGACACAAGTAACTGTATCAGAGAGAATGTCAGCTAAGATGGAGGGATAAGAATTTGCCGTTGGGAAATAGGCGTAGAAATGTGGGTGAAGCCAGTGGGCAACCTGAAAGACAAAAAGATAATCAGATTTTTACTAAGCTGTGGGTCATTCTAATGAAAACGCGAAACATGATTACTTGCGTAAATTAATTAGAATTCAATATCGTATTATCTTGTGTATAATACGATCCAATGTTTCTGAAGCTAAAAAACAGGGAGTAAATTACATTCTTGTGTATAATACGCACCAGTAGTACAGTAATCGCTATGTAAATTATATCTCCATATTAAGTTATAAAAAACAAGAAAATCGAAATATAAACAAACTATATATAGTTTATATATATATATACATATATATATATATATAGTTAATATCTGACCTATTCATGCTCCTGAGAGTTCTCAAACTTTACGTGCAGTTAATGAATTGTTGCACGTAGTTAATACTCATTGGTACCCAGCCTACTGCGTCAGTCTACTAAAAAGCTTCCTATTATCTATTTGTGAATATTGGCAAATGTGCTACCTAGACTCCTGAAATACTTCGTTAGTCTTTTGGAAAATATTCTTTTGTTGGAATAATATTTTTGTTGTTGTTGTTGTTAACTTACCTCGGAAAATGCCGCTTTAGCATCCTAGAAAGTAACCATATTGGGACATAACATTTTATTTTATTTTTTCATAATACTATGCAAAAAAAAACAAAAAAAACAAAAACAAAAAAAAAAACTAAAGGATGCACTGCAATTATTGCCTTGTATCACATTAAGCCAATCTTATTCAATATTTGTTTAATTCACCTTAGATCAAGTGTTACTTAATAATCTCGGTTTGCAGTGATCTTAGTCCTCCGAAGTTGCTAAATTGCTCTAGTCTTGTGTCATACTAAGTTAAGCTAAATAAATATCTACTTACCCCTGGCATAATGACACGTTCGATATCTTTGAATAACTGGTCCCATTTTTCTGGTGTATGTGGGGCATGATCGGGTAGGAGTTTGCGCATGAAACCGGGTCGCACATCAGGCATGACGCGACGTTCCCTGATATTCTTGTGATAATCAATCACATATTTAATCAATTGCTGACCAGCAGCTTCGAATTCTTCATCATTCATTGTCACCTTTGACACCAATGGAGAAACAGCAGGTAATTAATTAGTCGAAAGGTTGTCACACCTTTCCAAGTTCGGAAATGAAACTTAGACTCTGTCTAGAAAGAGATACAAAAGACAAAAAAATAATTAAACGTTGGTCTTCGGATCTCAGGGTTAACATTTTAAATATGCATTGATTTATATGAACTATTTTCTTGGTCTTTGCCATGTTTATCCCTGCGTTTCGACTGCTGTCCTCTCCGGCCTTATTTCTATCAAAAATTCCGAGACACACTATTGTTACCATAAAGCACGGATTCGTTTGGTTTATTTTCCAGGTTATTTTTAGTAGAGAGCCGTATTTAATAGACGCTTCATATTTTTTAACAGTGAAAATCCAATGAGGCCTCTACTCAAACACGGGTATTCACTAAAAATAACGTTTGAAGAAATAACAAAATGGCGGATTAAAAATTTTTTAAAAATGCATTAATTCTTTAGAAATTTCTTTGTTTACATTTTAGATACAAAATCGAGCAGACATAGACATTTGATAAAATCTAAACGAGAGGAGGTACATCCCTCAAAATGATAAGCAGAAAACTTTTGCATAGTAAAGTTTTTCGTGACCGAGCGGATTAAAGTACGCCAAATTAGACCGCGGTTTGTCCTACACAGGTGGACCTAGATTCGAATTTTGTTGGAGCACTCATCGTATTTAAGGGGACTATGTTACTATTGTCAGAGGTAGATTTTTTTTTTTACTATTACAAATCTGAATGCTTATTACATTCTTATTATATTCATTCATCCAACCATTAAAAATGAGACAAGGATATGCGTCCGAATAATGTATAGTAATTAAACACGTATTAATTAGCTATCTATTTAAAAAGTATTTGATTGTAGTGAAGGCTAAGAGAGTAAGTTGAAACCATATTATGGACCTTCATGACAACACAGAAATTGTACATTAGAAGGTAGATTTTGTGAACAAGAATTAACACTGATTTAAAGTTGTAACTATATATATATATATATATATATATATATATATATATATATATATATATATATATATATATATATGATTTTAACAGATACGACCAAGAAAGACGTCACCAATCCAGCAAGGTTGTATTACTGATCGTTTTAGTCCTCAAATTTCATAACTGCTCAGTTCCATGTCTGAAACGTAAACAAAGCAATTTATAAGAAATAATGAATTATTCATTTATTAAGCCGACATATTTTTTATCACATTAAAAGTTATTTTTAGAGGTTACATGCATTTGAGTATACGCTCCGTTTAAATTTTAAACAGTATTTTATTTTTTTTGTCTATTAGTTTGAATAATGTTTAAAAATAAACCTTACATATATATATATATATATATATATATATATATATATATATATATATATAAATTCAAAAACTCCCAGCATCCCTTGTTCGTGTGCATGTGGAGTCGCGCCAACATAGCGCATTTAGTTCGATGAACTCCTTAAGGACGAAAAGCGTCACAAGAAAAGTTTTTCACTTTGTCATACATTTTCTACAATATTGTTGAAAATGTTGTCATATTACCACGAAACTGCAGAAACGGGGAAATTACAGCATTGAGCATTATGAAAATATCACTTTTAAATGTTAAATTTTAAAATTTATATATACGCATATGTATAATATTGATAATGGCTTATGTAAGCCGAAAGCTTAGATTGGATTAAAAAATATGGATCAATATTGTGATTTTCTTTCTTCGTTTAATGATAATGTTATTAAGCTTATCAGACGTTATGAATAGAATTTACATAAAATAAATAAACAACACTTTCCTATATTATTTAATGAAACATGTATGAATATATATATATATATATATATAATCGTAATAAAGACGTTAATGGTCAGAGATTAATTAGACCAGAAAACAGTAGTATTAAAAAGTGCTCAGTACACATATAAGATGAAAAATTTAAAATGTAGAGCTTTCAAGTATAGAAAATAAGGAAATCAGCCAATTCCGCTACCTTGGTTTCAACATTTCAATATCTTTAGGCGATTTCGGTCGATTTCATAACGCTTTAATTTTTTTTTTTAAATAAAAACAATGTTATGAAGACTATTTATATTTTTTTAAATAAATAAATGAATAATCGCACGACGTGAGGCTTGGTAGAATGGGAGGAGAAGGAGAAGGTGGAAGAGGAGGGGGATATCAAGTGTATTGGAAATGTATCGGTGGGGGATTAGATGATATATACATAGATTCTTTAGAACCAACAGGCAGACAGATAGACACTTTCTGTTGTCTGGTCATCGGATTTGATAAAGTAATTTGACTTATGGTCCTTTTCTATCCTCAGGGATCCTAATGACTTTTACCTTACATACAGTTTTGTCTTTCATTCTAACTTAAAGAAACCGAAGGAAGCAGAGATTCTCAGCAAAACGCTTCGTTTATAGCTTTTCCAATTTGTCCTATTATCTTAACACCCCCCCAATACACACACAGGCACACACAGACACACCTTTATCCGATCCGTCAGTATCAGTCTATATTTCTGAGACGAGGTATTATGTACATTATTTACATTATTCGGACTATTGTCCTCATATTTGTCGCCATACTTATCCGATCCGTCAGTATCTGTCTATATTTCTGAGACGAGGTATTATGTACATTATTTACATTATTCGGACTATTGTCCTCATCTTTGTCGCTATATTTATCACAACGTTTCGGCCGTTGTACGCTCCGGCCTTCTTCAGGTGGTTGGAATTTCGAACTGAACCCTTTATTTCGCTCACTGGGGTAGACTGTTCTAGTTCCACGTGCCATGTTTGATGTGTGTCAGTTATCAGTTAACTCCTGCTAATTTCCCTCTGAAAGTTATCCACTGCCTTAACCGGGTATTGAACTCACACTCTTTTGGGTCTGTTACTGGATCTAACCAACGCTTTTATCCACTGTGCCATGTGTCCTTGAGGCAGTGGAGAACTTTCAGAGGGAAAATTTGCAGGAGATAACTGATAACTGACATCCATCAAACATGTCTACCCCATATATTTTCTCTCCATAAAGAAAATGTATATTTTTTCAGTGGCATATTCGTTCGGAACGTAGGCGATCAGTACTCTTCACAGCTCAATTTACTTAATCTTCTATGAATTTCTATTCATTCTTGAGAAATATAGTTGTTTGGAAATCAAAGTTTTCCTTCTCTTCGACTACTTGCCATCCTAAGCAAAACAACCCATTCTGTCTTGATATTTAGTCCAAAGCTAGTGGAGCGGATAGTTTTCCCCCATGGCATTAGTAGAAAAATGAGCAGACATATATTGATAAAGGTAATACTTCAGCAAGATTTCTTTAATAATTTTCAGCAAGAATAACCTGAAGAACTGTAAATATAAGGGAGAAAAGAATGTAGTCACATAATATTTGTAAAATCAAAAATGATGTCGAAGAGAGTGCTGCAAGTAAGAAAGATTTGGTGTCACTTTGTCTCTTGTGAGTGCAAGTAAATGCCAATGCCGTGGAAACTGAACACGTGTAAAATCAAGGAATACAAAAATTGTTTTAACAAGTTTTTTTCGAATACAAATTTAATCATAATAACTTACTTGGATAACCTGACGTGACGGAAGAATGGCTCACACCGGGACCCAAACGATAAGAAAATGGCTCCTTAGATCTGTTTCCCTTTTTCAGATATATCCGTCGACGTAAGCCCGTCAATTTTTTTCTCTATTCTACTTTGACTTTCCAAAACCGTTACTTGGATTGAGTCCCAAACCAAATATTCTTCGAATGAAAATGAAACATTGGTGGCTGGAATAACCATTTACTTCTTTTATACTTTGTCTTGTGAACTGCCCCGCCTCTTTCTGTCTGTCTGTCTGATATAGGATCTATCTATCTATCTATCTATCTATCTATCTATCTATCTATCTATACTTAATATTGTTCATGGCTTTTTAATTCTGTTCATATCTAAACCTGTTAAGATTTTATCTTTCTCCCTCTCTTTCACTCTGTGTATATATATATATATATACGCACGTATATATTGACTTTTATGCAGAGCATCCACCATCTGTGCTGATATTTTTCAAGTGTTTCTCTAGCCCCCACACACACGCATATACTGATATATCAAGTTAAGTATAGTCTCATACAATGTCTTTTGGTGGTGTTAATCAGATTCACTACCCTACTGAGCCAACCCGGTACCCGCATAGCGGAAGGTCACATCCACTGGTTAGTCTGATCACCAAAGACTTAAGACAAGTAAATCATTATGGCCCTGGTAAGAGAGAGAAATAGAACGGGTAAACCATATCTTGAACAGGGAACAAGGGATGAACCTCTTGTCCTGTTCAATAGATATGGAAGGAGAGCGAACCAGACGATAGGTGATTCTATCTACTCCTAGTAACCTGTTAAAATTTGGGACAGAATACCTATTAAGTAATGACTTGATATAAGTTCTGATGTCTACTAGCATCTAAAAAATCGGGATGAGTCTTACAGAAACGAATGTTGTACTTTAAACTATTGAAACTTTCACATATTTGATGACTGGAAAGCTATGATTCTCATGATGATGTACAAGATGGATGCCCGTCAGAATTTTAGAGATGCTAATTATTCATTGAATATCAATCCAAGAAAAGGTGCATTAACCGTATTTTGTCGTTTCAGTTGTTCTTGATAATTCAAGTTTCCTATATTCTATCCATCTATATTTTAGTTTCAAAGTTGGCGTAAATTTATATGAGTTAGTTTTAATGTTGCGGGGGGAAATGAATGGTGTTTCTGATGCTGCTAGCCACGGCCCGAGTGGTGATTTGGACGACGCGAATGGAGGAAGTCTTTCGAGGCATTCGTCTTTCTCATCAGGATCTAATCCGATTCTTTGAGCATCAGCTCAAGATGAAGATTAGAACTGATAGAAAACGCTTGCATTCGACAGTCTTCAGCGAATCGTGGGTGAAAGAGGTGAGCTTGGTTCGTTTGAACAGGGCTAGCCTTGATTTTCTCTTCTAGGTCAACGTACGGCACATCGGGATGGTTTCCTGTGGAGCCCTCCACTTGGTTAGGTTAGACAAGCTTAAGCGTACCTAGTTAATGTGAGTAAGTGTTGTTCCTGGCCTGTATCCCGGCTGCTCTTTGGTTTGATGCAAGTCAAGATTCTTAACCTCCCCAGTTTGTTTTGGCCCCTTTTTTATCTCGACTGGGTCAGCTTTATATTTTCCCATGCCCGTGTAATATTTTATCCTTTTCCCACTCCCGAGGTGAGAGAGTTTCTTGATTCTGTCCCCTGGGCAGAATACAGCGGCTTCTCTGTTTTGAGGGTTGGACGCGCCCTACTAACATCAATTATGTTTAGTTTGTTTTTGTTAATTCTTAATTTGTTATTGGGTTCATCTCCCTTCCCTCTCATTGTTTCACCATAGAATTTTAAGTATCTTATTTTTATGGCATGGGGCGCGTTTTATAGGTCCCCCTTGTGTGAATGCGATATTTTGGTGCATGGAGGATTGGTTGGTGACGGATGAGTTCTTTTGGTGAATGTAAAAACTGTAATGTATGAAAAGGTCGTGAATCCGATTAGCTAGGTATAAGATAGTTAGTAATGACCAGCCTCACCCCCGGCCTTGTGCCACAATTTTGTACTTGATACGGAATAAATATCTTAGTATAGGGTAACCAAAAATTCCAGCACACGAAGCCTTTTTAGAACGACAGCTGTGTAACTGGTTAGGCGACGAAGGCCTGCCGGCAGTAGAAGCTATATATAACTATATAATTTTCATTCCATATTGTTTCCAGAAGAATCGGCTTTGCTATCTTTAATTATTATTTACATACACTAGTAGAATTGGTTTCTTGAAATTATAAGCCGGTGAATTCGTATCGAAAAAAGAAACATTTGAGAGATAAGACACAATATCGCTGGAAGATTTTGCCGACTAACAATTCCGGTGTAGGAAGCGTAACGAACCTACATATAAACGAGCACATAATTGTATATTATTTGATTAGTATTTCTGTCATCTTAAACTCACTAATTTTCATCGCAACGTTTCACTTTAGTTTTCTACAGCTGCTAATAAACAGCGATTATCGGAAATCATAATTAGTCATTCACAAAATATCAGAACAGATCTTTCATAAAAAAAAAGGATATAAAATGTACTGAGCGAAACGATGTGGTTACAAGCAAAGAAGTAAAAGAAGCAGTTCATTTATCCGAATATTAGTTAAATTTATATTATCGCCATGTTGAATTTATACATTATATACTAGAAGAAGGTTGGACAATGAATCGGCCACCAACACATTGTGATAACAAGAAGAATAAATCACCCGAACAATAGAAGAAGTATCTGGTTTTGGAAGTATCATTCTATGTGTTATCCATTGATCGGTTTTTCTTACCTCCTGTGAAGTGTATGCAATCAGTTTAGTGAGCGCAACACCATCTTCTATGCCAGGGTTGTTCTTTTTGATTCTGTTTAAAAATTTCGTCCTCGCTGACAGAACAGCAACAAGAGTTGCTTCGCTGGCAGTCGACTAAATAAACGAAGAAATAATATTTAATTAATAGCTTTTATTTTTTTAATTTTTTGTTATCAATATGATATAATTAAAGATAAAAGAGAAATGTGACAGTAAAACGTGCTGTATTTTAGGAATTCCTGCAACACATCGATATATACTCATATAACATCACCTGGAAACAGGATTACATCCTTGGTCACGGTTGCCAATTAATATAACTATTTTGGGCGCCAGCTACACCGGTAGTGTAACCATTTTTGCGGACTAGTCCTAAGTGTCTTAGAACGACGTTTTAACCACAGGGCTAACTCTGCGCTGGTATTATTGATCGCTGGCCGCTTCGATTCATACCAATTCTGCTGACGTTGTGTTTTTGATTTCAGAGCAGTGGAAGATCGAATGTCGTCGTAATGACAGTGCTGGTTCAAGCCATGGCGGGTTGCTACATTAAGGAAGAAAATATCTTCATGACGAAAATTAAAACGAGATTTCCTGTGGTTAATTTTCAATTGGTTTATATAGCCCTTGGTACAACAAAAATTAGCCCTTCCCACATCAATCTGTATAGTGCCACTGGGTCAATTTTGAGGGATTTGGATTCATGAAATCTGCTTGTAGCTGACGTGGATTTCAAAGGCACTCGATGCGGGTTCTCAGCCCAAGTCTCCGAGCTCCAAAAGTCATATGCTTATATACACTTCGGCTCAAAACTGGCGTTGGGTTGAAGGATTTTGGGGATTTGATGATTCGTAAATACTCTCATTAATCTCATTAAAAAATTCCTTTGTTCCTATTTCTTCTTTTTTAATCAACTTTCCAAATGTGGAGAATTATCCACCTTGAAAGTTATCACAGGATTTACTCCTCCCTTAACTCCAACCTTCTTCACTTCACTTCTCGCATCGCCACTTCTGACAAACTGATCTAAATTCTGCCTCTTCCTCTTTCCTTTTCGGTATTTTAAATCTGCCCACTTGTCAGGGCTGGCATAACTGTCTTTGTGACAAATGTAGTTTTAAAGTTCGTAGGTAAAAGGGGCATAGTTTATTCTCCTTATTAATTTCAATTCTCTGACTCCCTTCCACTCCCACTGTGTTGCCTTTGTTCGACAATAATTGCTTCTCATTTTAACTTTCCGGAAGATAGATATAAATCATTTTTACCAATTTTGTCTTTTCCTAATTTTGTCTTTTCCTATATATAATTTTGTCTTTTCCTATTCACTGTACGAATAATTTTGTCTTTTCCTATTTGTTAACCTATAGATCTGAAAATCGAGTTTTATATTCCTTCTTAACATATAAAAAATCTGGCGTCATACGGGTATTAGATTCTATCTCTATATAAAACTTACCTGGATCACTCCCCCGCCATGTCCTGGAGAAAAGCTTCAGGAAGATCCATGACTTTCACTAGCCAATCCAAGACAATAACTTCTAATTCCGTACAAGATGGACATGATTTCTGAATGATAAGGTGCAAGTGATTAATTTTAAAGATTGGAATAATCAGGTTTCCTGGGTAAAATAGTCGATCAGTTTAAATGTTGCATGACAATGACATTTTTCGGGTTAGATTTTAATTATTAGTTATATTTTTCCTTATCAAACGTTGTAACATGTCAATGACGAGAAATGTTAGTACAAGGAAGAATAGTTTCTGCAAGTTTATTACTATTCAACTCACTGTTCGTGCGCGAAGTACAATCAACCAACTTCAAGAACTCTCAACTCATGTCTTTTTCTTCAAAATTTGGGATCTGGTTCAGATTCGGCAGTTCTTTAGAGATGAAATACCCAGATGTAGCTAAGGGATGGAATTTTATTTCTTCTTCTTCTTCTTCTTCTTCTATGTCTTGCATGTCTCACTAGGCTCTCCACAACTTCTTATCCCTTCTGGTCCTTAGTTGTTTTCTCCCTTTACTAAGGCCACACGTTTCGCTATGCATTCACATAATCTCAGCAGATAAGTGGCTTGCTGTCTTTCACTATCTCTCTTACCCTTAATACACCCGGTGAGATTTATGTTTTCCAGCCCCCCTTCCTCATTATATGTCCATGGAACTTCAAATATCTTATCCTGTTACCATTTTCTTTAAGACATCCTTGCTCCGAACATAGAATTCTTAGTATCCTTCTGTAAAACAACATTTATTTTTCCTTCATTTTTTTCCTCATCCACAGGGAGATCGTCCATCATTTACTACCATTTAAGAGGATGGATATAACATAGCAATATATATATATATATATATGTGTGTGTGTGTGTGTGTGTGTGTGTGTGTGTGAAAAGTGTGTGTATATAAATATATATATATATATATATATATAATTATTTATATATTATATGGGCGGTACTTATCAGAAAGCGCTCAATATCAGAGATAGAGCTAACATATTTGGTTGGATTGATGTGAGTTTGTGACCCTGGGTTTCACGCTTTTGCGATCGTCAGACAAACTGATTAATTTTTTAAAACCGTAAAAAGAAGAAAATGACACCCTAACTTACGTACACACATCCTCCAACCACCCACCTTCAATCATCAAACAGATAACAATATCAATCAGCCGCAGACTATCTGAGAACTCATGTAACATACACATTTTTAATAACAAAAAGCACCATACAACGAAACACTAAAAACAAGTGGTTACACACAACAACTACAATATATACCTCCACAGCCAACACGCAAAAACAGAAAAAGAAATATTATCTGGTTTAATCCACCATACAACAAAACCCTTAAAACGAACATAGGCAAGATATTCCTAAACTTAATAGAAAAGCACTTCAGTGAAACAAATCGATTAACAAAAATAACGTAAAGATCAGTTACAGCTGCACAAAAGCATAACAGAAATAATCAAAAGCCCCAACAAAGAAATGACAACCTACAAAAATGAAACCAAGGATCCAAAATGCAACAGCAGAAATAGAACATGTCCACGCCAGGGAAATTACCAACTTACGAACACAATATACAAGGCGAAGGTAAGTGCAAACAACAACATAATGTACTCCATCGGTGCCAGCGAAGGTCCATTCAAGAAGAGCAATAACAACCACAACCTTTCATTCACCAACAGGAAATACTCAAACAGCACTACGCTATCCACATACATATGGCAGCAAAAAGACAGAAATATCGCACCAACAATAAGTTGGAAAGTATTGAAAAAAGCTCCTGCCTACAGCAACATTACAAAAAAAATGCCTACTTTGCCTACACGAAAAAGTAGCAATAATATCACACACACCGCAAAAGAATTTACTAAACAGAAAATCAGAGATAATTTCTAAATGTAGGCATGAGAACAAGTACCTATTATCCGAATTTATACCAAACGGATAAAAAAAAGAAAGAAAAGACAAACCACCAACAATCACAATTTAATTCAAGATACCATCACAATAATTACATTTATCGTTATTATCATTGCACCACCATTAGTAATGACTTCTACCACTTTACAATAACTATTAACTACTAATATTATCATTACCACCAACACCCAACACCATTACTACCACATCACATCTACTATTGACATATAAATCCACTATAATCATTAACGTAAATTACTCCCTCAACATATTTAATACCTTAAAAAAATCCATATGTAACCATGAGAATAAATACCTTTTACCGAGATTTATACCAAAATAAATAAATATAGAAAATAAAATAAAATAAAACATCAACTATCACTCTTTAGTTCAAGCTAGCACCACAGTAATTACATTTATTGGTTTTTATTATTTTCCCACCAACATTACTAATCACTACTAACAATTTACAATAACTATTAACCACTTATATTATCATTGTCACCAACCCCCTTACACATTACTATCACATCACATCTACTATTATCATATAAACCCGTCATAATTATTAACGTAAACTACCCCCTCCCTCAGCATATTTAATACCACCATAAAAATAAACAATAAGGATTACAAACTTAAATTTCTACCAGTCACATATACAGTCATCAAAAAACTAAAAAAAAAAACAAGCAAATAACCAGCTTTAAAATAATAACAAATGTTTTTTTTTTTTAAATTAAAAATTATAAATAAAAATTATAGCAATTTTCAAATATCATAATTTTACACAGAATACCTATTATCAGGATTTATACCAAAATAAATTAATACATATAACAAAATAAAATAAAACACCAACAACCACTTTTTAGTTCAAGCTACCACCACAATAATTACATTTATTGTTTTTATTATTCCCCCACCACCATTACTAATCACTTCTACCAATTTACAATAACTATTAGCTACTTATATTATCATTGTCACCAATCCCTTACAACATTACTATCACATCACATCTACTATTATCATATAGACCCGCTATAATTATTAACGTAAACTACCCCTCCCCCATATTAAATATTAAATATCACCATAAAAAATAACCAATAAGGATACAAAACCGAAATTTCTACCAGTTACATATACACAGTCATCAAAAAACAAGCAAATAACCAGCTTTTAAAATATAACAAATAAATAAATTTTTTAAAAAATTAAAAATAAAAAAATAATAATAATTTTTACCTATCATAATTTTACACAGACCCCCACCACACGTATATACATACATGCGAGGAAATATTATTCAGTGGAAAAATAGAAAAATGCTCTGATTTTTGACATGTATTACATTCACGAGACATTCACGAGAAATTTTCGCTACACTTCCAATCTTTAAATTTCAACATACAAATGCGTATGTATAGACACAACACCACCCGTATACATACATATCTCAAATCCGAAACTGTCCACATATATTTATATATATATGAGTCCCGACGGACCACCAAGTGTGTATGTGTGTCTGCGTAGCTCATCGGGCGTATGAACATGCATCTATGTTTGCGTTAGCACGATGACATCACGACGATGATTCCCCCCACTCCCATAATAACACTAATACACGCAAGCTACATAAACCCAAAATTTTTTAAAAAATTAATCAGTTTGTCTCACGATCGCAAAAGCGTGAAACCTAGGGTCACAAACTCACATCAATCCAACCAAATATATATATATATATATATATATATATATATATATATATATATATATATATGGACACTGCACGCTTGAAGATTGCGTTCAAAAATAAAACAGATTGTCGTGACCCAGTGTTGACCTCAGTACCCAGTTTTATATTTACAACTCCTTTATCATGGATATATATCACTTTCAGTCATAAACATAGCATAACTTTAAACTATATTTTATCAAACACACACACACACACACACACACACACACACACACATATATATATATATATATATATATTATCAATTAAACGTAATTTTTAGTGAATACCCATATTTGAATAGGCGCTCTGTTTATTTATTAAATATTATATTTATTTTCGCCTACCCGCATGAATTTTCGGGAAATATGCTTTCTACGGCAGCATTCGAATCTGCGTTACCCTTAGTATAATAAACCGTCGTTAGATCCGGTGTGCTTTTGACCAACTCAGCCACGATAGATCTCGCCGACCTTTAAGCGCAAATGTTTTCAAATATTGTCTAAATATTTATAGCTACTATTTATTAAATCATATTTTTTAACTGTATATTTATTTATTTTCTTCTACCGGTCTGAATATTCGAGGAATCATTTCAAAACAATATTGGTAACATGCCTAGTAGACATACAACTGGTGTCCACGACTGGATGTCGGACACGTATAGACGTAAATTAGTTGTTTTAAAATGAAATCATCATTTTCCACCCTTGAATTAACTTCTTATATACGTGGGACATTCGAAAAGTAATGTCTCATATTTATATCCACAGGAACTAAAACATGTATAGGGGAAACCGTCGGCTAGAGCATGTTTTCAGATATTAAAAAGAATGAGGTTGTTCTTGTCAGGTAAATATTTACTGTTTAACCTCTCTTGCATGAACTGTAAATTCGAGCATAATATGCGTTTTCATGTCAGACATTATTTAGCCTGACTGTCTCTCAGTTACTGTGCGTAACAAAAAAGTTATGGTTTATTGATACAATAGTTCAACTTTTACCAAAGTCCTTCCTTGATGTTGTAGGCCAGCTTAATAGAAGGTATCATATTCGGAGTGATTATCCTGTCAGAGTGGTGTTTAATATGTTGTTCGAAGTGAATTCAGTTAGAGATTTGTTTAAGAATGAATGAGTGTGTGTATGTGTGTGTTCTTGCGAGAAAGAGAGAGAGACAGACAGACAGAGAAAGAAAGAACGAGAGACTAAGAAAGAAACAAGAAAGAATGAAAAAAAAAAAAGACAAAGACAAAGAAGGAAAGTGAGACAAAAACTAATCTTACCCAACTGAATCCGACGCAGGCAATTGTACTCGAGAGAATATCAGCCAAGGTCGCGGGATGAGAATTTGCTGTTGGGAAATAGGCATAGAAATGTGGGTGATGCCAGTGGGTCACCTAAAAGACAACAAAATTATTAGTTAACATTTCTATACAAAAAGAAGTGACGTTGAGAGTTAGCTCTCCGAGTCATGATCAAAAACGGAAAACAGAAATAATTACTCGGAAACTTTGTTTTCCGAAATCAGCAGAATGCCATCAAGGTATTTATAATTCACTGATTTTCAAAGTTAACAATGGAGATAACTGCCTTCTGCTTGTATGTCTGATTCGGTTAGATATTGATCCAAATTCTTCTATTCATATATACCCGGATATATATTTAACCAATTTTGTCACATTCAAACGACAAGGTATATGTTTCATTTTAAATTATATTTATCTAATTTGTTAATATGTTGTTTAATATCCTAAACATATGTGGATAAATAATCCAAAATTCATGTTTTTTTCTGTTTTAGTTCGAGTGCTTGTGACCCTCTAGATCAGTATCAAGAGCTGAATGTTGTAAGTATGGTAAAAAAGATTTTCTTGGGTACATACAGGATTTTTTGCAACGTTACATTTTAAATTAAAATGGACCGTATGTGACACCATGTATAACACAGTTATCATGTTCGACTGTACCAGAAAGTATGTATCAGTTATTTTGCACATATTATAATTATTATTTTATATGCATATTAAATATTTTATGTACACCTTAAATGCCGTCTCTAGCGTCTGAGGACAGTATATTTACTGCTCGTTGTTTCTTTCGTATAATATTACCATCAAGTATTTTTAGTCTTCCCTTGCAATGAATGTTATATAGTATTTTGGTGTTATTTAGTCATGCTTACCTTATTTTAATAGTTGTATTTCCAGTGTTTGTCATGTGATAATCAATATGTTCTGGAATTGAACTAAGATTCGATAAGTGATAAGTTAACCGACAAGATAGAGTGATGCATGTATGACCAATAGATGAATTTAACTTTGTTTCTTATCATTGATATTGGAGGTGCAAACACCTAAAGGATACGAGAATGCACAAACAACAATCTTTTTATTTAGAGGTTATTGTTATACATCCCGAGTTACTGGTAATTCTTATGTTAGATGTTTCATTTTTTTATAAGAAATAATAAATCTAATGTATTTTTGTAATCATTATGTGTGCTGCACCGGCGAATTATATTTTAATTTTTTTTTCATTTTGTAGTTAGGGTATATTTGGTAATGGTAAACTAAGTTAATGACGTTTTTATTTTTATTTTTATCAGCATGGTTGTTTGTGTCCTTTTTATTTATCAATTTTATTTGCTTGTCATCGACATGGAAAATGTTTGATACAGGCGTATTTTACGTTTCTCAATTCTTTATAAAATAATAGTATGGAGAATTAATTATTTTTGCTCGGTTAATCAGGTTTTTATAAAGGTTATTAAAGATGTTTGTGGACATTCACTTTTCGAATTGAAAATACAATAATTTATGCGTCTAAAGTTTTCTATACAATGGATAACTGTTTTCCTTTCATTAGTTTCCTTTATCTCATGAACCGTAATTCTAGCTTCTGTAAAAGTCAGTAAACCCAGGGGTCAAAATCTTGACCAGACGAAGGCTAATAATTCAGCGTCGTGCGATCTTTTAATGATATTAAATATTTAATATAATGATATACAGATTTTAGTCAAATATAATAAAATATATAAATGTCATTTTTGCAAGTTACCATTTATTTTAATTTCCTTATGCTTTTGTCGGCTGCGAGGATCAGAACGAAGTCAATCTAAGTAATCGACCTACATTATTCCATCTATCCATGAGATCAAATTTATTTTTTACAAAATTATTTTGTAACGATTTTCCGGTCTTTCACATTCCCAATAATTATTTATCAAATCTTACTTTCTCCATGTATGAAAAAAAGATCTGCATAAATTATTTTTTATAAAACACCCATCATCTCCATTAAGAATATCTAACAGACCAATACATAAATATTAAATCTCGATGAAGTTGTCTGTAGATGACTACTTGCCTTTTAATGTTTATTGTTCAGTAATATACAACAGCTTGACTCTTAGGTAATAAATTTGATAAGACAATGTTTGAAAATTAGAATTAGATTTAAAAAAAATACTTTAAGACAAGTTAATTTGGGTCCTAAACTGAAATGAATACATGAATAATTTGATTTTAAAGTAATCTTTGCATCTGATTCCGATTTGCAAACATTGCTTTGAAATTTATAGAGATCTTTATTTTATGCCTAGAGAAAGAAAGTTTCAAAGGAAGACAAATTTAAAAAATGTAAAGATACTACTGGGGTGAAGAAGAAAGGAGTTACGGTGATTGACATCGTTCTGCTAAAGATTACTTTAAAGGAAGATTGTGACACCATTTAGGGGCACAAAAAGAAAAAAAGGAAAAAAAAAAGAAATGAAAAAGAGAAAGGAAAGAAAGGAAAAGAGAGGAGAGGAGAGACTTAAGTTTAGATGATAAAAGAAGTCACCCACGACCGGGGACATTGACAATGTTATTTTGATAAGTAGCAAATGGTGAAAGGTTTCATTACCATTGCAGAAAAATTCTAAATGGATAAGAAAATCGACTGTGCGGACTTGTGTTATCGGGGATATATAACAGCCACTTAATGCTGGCGAACATCTAATTAACAAACCACAGACCGGCTAGCTAAAACTCCGAGACATTTCGACAATGTTATTTTGATAATGGAAAAAGATGGTGAAAATTCTGACCACCAGTGTCGTAGGACTGTCTGACAAGAACCAGGTGAATACAGAGCTTTGGATAGATAAGAAAAATTAACTGTGTCAGAGGGGGAAAACAATATTGTCGGGAAAGGATTTAATAGGTCGTCTGCTAACCGCACACGAAGCCAACCCTGGGTTACGTCTTTGCCGTTTTGACAAGACATCTATGGGTGTTAGAATTCGGATATGATAATAAAACTATGTTATCAGAAATTGGCACCAGGAATGCAAATACGGCTAGGACAATGAAACTGTTTTCGAGGCGGGAATCGACTGTTTCGCTAGACGACTACCCCACTTGATAATTGGCATCGATTAAGGAAAGAAAAGAAAAAGATAAATTTTTTTGAGCAAGATATATTTTTTTCTAAAACAAAGCTAGCCGGATCACACCCACCCGGTTGGACGCTATTGGCCGAATGACAACGAGGGCCACACGGAGGTGATCACGTGACGCAAGGGGGGGAACCGTCGCCCATTTAGAAGATAGGTATGGGAAGTTGCTACGAAGAAGTGGGGAGAACCGTTGACGCCCCTCTGAAGTATGGTGAGATATCCATATGAGAATAAGAGAAGGTGGGAGTAAGAGAAGACTTCCAAAAATGGAAAGGAGTGGAAAATTCCTGACCAAAAATAAAAGAAGTGGATATGGATTTAGAATTATCGAGGAACCTCCAACCCCGACAAACCCACCCCGGTTTTGGTCGGCGTCCATATAAGCAAAGTCGCAGTGAGCAAAAATAATTCAGAGGAGTCCAATCCAGAGTGCTCAGTTGAAGCAGGCCTCGCAGAGCTGACTTGAAAGATTCGCGCAATTTCCGAACTCATCTTCAATCCAAGAACAATTTATTTTGAAGAGCGACTTAGATCCATACCACCAAAATAAGTTTTTCGACTATCGCCTGAAGACACACCAAGAACCAATTTCTTAAAGAACAGACAACTTAAGATGTTAAAACTCACCTAACAAAAACAACGTGTCACAATCCATATAGCGGGTCGGGAGATAGATGCGGTTCTATGTATCCAGCAACCAGATATAAAGTATTGTTATCCTTTTTTTTGATACCTTGAACTTTTGAGTTATCATTTTATTTTATTTTATGCATATTTGTGTGATACCACCCTCGTGTGAACTCAATTTGCATTACGGCCCCAACGACTGATTGATTTCGTCTGCTTTAGATCAATTCACAACGTGGGTAGGCGGACTGGAGATCAACGCAGTTACTTTGGTAATCAGACGTTGGAAGCGAGTTGGGAACGGCGAGGCTGATATCGAATCTAACCAGATTCCCATCCGAATCACCAAAAGGTTAGAACGTCACATTTGGGTGCCGCGACCGATACCAAGCCAGTTGGTCGTCACAGGACGGGACAACACGACTGACGCAAACAGGTGGACGTCACGTTTGGAGCGGCGACACCCGAACGAAGCAGCGAGGAGAGAGAGAAAAGGCTGTGGAGAGGGACGTCACAGAGAAATATATTAAAACAAAGTAAAAAAAATAATTAGGAAATTTATATAATTTAAGTTTTGCAAAGACGTCAAGAATGTATTTACGAGATAACAGTAAATGCGATGCTTACGTAAATAAGCTCACACAATTACGTTTCATTGCTCTAACTAGGCAAATCTTATTCAGTAATTATATGATTCGCCAGCTTTGGCAAAAAACTCGATTAATAAGCTTATTTTTTCAGATCGTCGTTAATGTGATATTTGTTCGATTACTTTAGCCTTGAGCCTGACTAGATTAAACCGAGTAAATATCTAATTACCCCTGGCATAATGACACGTTCGATATCTTTGAATAACTGGTCCCATTTTTCTGGTGTATCTGGGGCATGATCGGGAAGGAGTTTGCGCATGAAACCGGGTCGCACATCGGGCATGACACGACGTTCCCTGATATTCTTGTGATAATCAATCACATATTTAATCAATTGCTGACCAGCAGTTTCGAATTTTTCGTCATTCATTGTCACCTTTGACTCCAGTCGAGAAAAGGCAAATAATTAATTCGTCTGAAAGTTTTTAAACCTTTCCCAGTCCGGAAATGGAGCTTAAACTGAGTGTGGAAAGAGATAAAGAAAACGAAAAATAATTAACCGTAATTCCTCGCATGAAAACATGGTAAAGACACATACTTTGAAGTTTTGTATCACAAAATTACTTTTACTTCTTTTTATGTGAATTTAATTATCATTATATCCATGTGATATCCTTCCCTCGTTTTTTTTCTTTATCAGATTTTTTGATTATTTAAGGTACTGCCTGATTCAAAAGTTTAT